GAGAGAGAGAGAGAGAGAGAGAGAGAGAGAGAGAGAGAGAGAGAGAGATGGGTTCAATGAATGTGGAATTGGCCGCCCAACTACGTTAGTGTGGCGTGTGATGTTTTGTCTTTGTTCTTCACCGGTTATGTCGAGACTGCAACATGTAGTTGTCAGGATTTGCTGATGTGTCAACACAATTTAGTGCCACGTGTGTTATCCTGAACATTCTTTGGCCCCCCTGGTTGGGTACATAGAATACATTTCCAAAACAAAAAAAAAAAACCCTTCTCATGGCATATTGTTTCGCGGTATGGCGTGTCTGGAGAGTAATGTCATCGAGCACCGACAATTAATTACCGTATCAATCAATCAATCGATCAAGGAGACTAATTAGTGAGCCCATCAACGATTGAATTGACGAGTCTGTCGATGATGACTCTGTCAATGAGTCCCCATTTACTAGTTGATTAATGCTATCTTTGATAAGTGAATCGCTGAATCCATGAGACAGACGACAGTTTAATCAAGGAAGTAATCAAGGACCTAATCAAGTAAGGAACTAATCAACGACGTAATCAAGGATTTGATCTGGGAATTTAGTTTTTTTTTTTGTCTATTTTTGACGGCTCGGTCGTTGAGGAATGCAGCCACATAGCGTTCGCGCGCATAGCTACTGCAATGAATTTATAGATTTTAAATTTAATATTTTTAACTATTTATTTACTTATCTATTTAATTGGTCAAACGCGTTTCCTTCTCTTTCCCAGATTGGGTGTCATGGAATCGTCTAGCGTCCCCCTTGTTTTTTGCGCGAATGCCTCTCCCCGAGTCTCCCGTCTTAGGTGGATGCGCGATTGTGTTCCTTGTTCTTTGCGCGAATGCCTCCTCTCCCCTTGATGAGTGCTGGAGCGCAACCCGCGGAAACGCGCCGGGAAATGCGCATGAGCGCATATAGCGTTGTCCTCGCCATCTCCTTTTTTTTCTTTTCTTTTCTTTCTTCTTTTTTTTTTCTTTTTTCCGACGCGGCCGGCAGGCCTCGCTATCTCCTAAGGCCTCTATCTCCTCAGCAATGCAGAAATGTGCATTAGCGCAGCCAGCCTAAACGCCCCGCGAAATTTGCCAGCGAGGTCGTTACCTTCGATTTTTTGCATGTTATGCTGGTGATGGTTCTGTAACGATCTTCGCACGTGCATGATCGCATAGCGCTGGCCTCGCTAGCTATCTCCCAAGGTATCGTGCTCGTTTTCTGCATGCATTGCTTACCTTCTGTCTTTGATCCTCTGTTTTTTTTTTTTTTCCTCCTTGTAATTCCCTTTTTGTTTTCCTTCCTTTTTTATTTTTATGTTTATTTTTTTAGCATTTGGACCATTTCTCGATTCAAAGTGGTATATTGAAGTGTTATATAATTTCTTGTTTGTAAATGCRACTCGTAATCTCGCTCAACTTCTGTTTTATTTAGATCAGTGGCTATTTGATGGAGTGGTAAATTTGACTGGAATCTCTACTCTGTGAGGTGGTCAAAGCTTAAAATATAAAAGATGGACCATTTCTCGATTTATGGGTGTCATACTTGCGCAAGGGCCATTTGCTAATCTACCCTTCTCTTTATCGTTCCAATTTTAACGGATGTCCCGAAGGACTCGTTTCCGGAACTTCTTTGTTACTTTTTTTTTTTTTTGCCCTTTGTTTAGCTTCTTACC